CCCAGGCTAGAGTGCAGTGGCATCATCATAGCTCACTGCAACCTCAAACTCCTGGGCTCAAACGATCCTCCTGCCACAGCTTCCTGTATAGCTGAGACTACAGGCTTGTGCCACCATGCCTGGCTAATTTTTCTATTTTTTGGAGAGGTGGGGTCTCACTCTTGCTCAGGCTGGTCTCGAACTCCTGAGCTCAAGCGATCCTCCTGCCTCGGCCTTCCAGAGTGAGTGCTGGTATTACAGGCATGAGCCACTATACCCAGCCCCAAACCCATCCACGTCTTACCTCCTCTACAGCCACCCGCCCTGGGCTAGGCCACCATCATCTCCTGCCAGGACACCTGCAGCAGACTCCTCATGGGTTCCCTGACCCGCTATCTACAGTCCATACTTCACCCAGCAACTGATGGGATTACTTAAAGTACAACTTGAATCCCATCATTTTCCTACCAAAAACTTTCCATGGTTTTCCATCATCCTTAAATAAAATCTGAATTCCTCACTGGCTCTACAAGATGTGGTGGCCTCATCACATGACCCCCCTGCCCTGCCCAAGAGCCCCAGCCATACTGCCTTCTGTGCCTTCTTCTCTCCAAGCACGTTCCAGCCTCCAGGCCTTTGCACCTGCTGTTCCCTCTGCCTGGAACACTTGTCCCTCAGAGTGTCACATGACTGGCTCCTTTGTGTCATTCAGACCCCAGGTCCAGTATCACCTCCTCAGAGAGGCCGTCCCCAACCACCCTATCTCAAGGGGTCCTGCACTGTTGCTCCCTATAACACCCTCTTTTATTGTCCCCACACTTTTCACTAACTAAGATAGTCGTCGTGTTAGTTAGTTGCTTACCTGTTTATTGTCTGTTCTGCCATTCCTCTCCAGCTGAGCTCCAGAAGGTCATGAACTTGCTTGTCTTGATCACAGTTTAGAAAAGCGCTCAGCAGCTGGGCGCAGTGGCTCACGCCTGTAATCCTAGCACTCTGGGAGGCCAAGGAGGGAGGATTGCTTGAGGTCAGGAGTTCGAGACCAGCCTGAGCAAGAGCAAGACCTCGTCTCTACTAAAAATAGAAAAATTAGCTGGGTGTGGTGGTGCACACCTGTAGTCCCAGCTACTCGAGAGAGAATCGCTTGAACCCAGGAGTTTGAGGTTGCAGTGAGCTAGGATGATGCCACAGAACTCTAGCCCAGGTGACAGAGCGAGACTCTGTCTTAAAAGAAAAAAAGAAAAGTGCTCAGTAAATGTTTGCTGACTAAGTGATGATTCCAGGAATAGGGTGCCTTGACTGCTATTTAGCTCAGTTGTTTGAGCCACATTACATGACCTCGTCTTGGTCGTTTACTATAAAATGGCGGTTTGTTATATAACAGTACTATCGTTTTCCGTGCTGTTCGCGCCTGGCACTGTGCTGTCTCCCCGCCCACATGCTCGCTCAGCCTTCCCACCCTCGCCAGCTGGTTTTCTTATCCCCATTTTGCTGATGAGGAAGTGAGACCGGGGTGGGGTGGGAAAGTGGCCAGCGAGGTGCTGGTGGGCTGGCAGGGCCAAGGATCAGCTCAGGCCTTCTGACCCGACCGCTGGCAGTGCCCACCACCCACTCCCCGCTCTGCTCCACGGCTCTACCTGTTACATTCCATTACCCTCATGACTTATTCTCTGAATAAACTCCCCCATCACACCGGTCCTTGGTACCCACGACAATGACAACAATGACAACTTGTCAGCTCCGGGCCAGAGCATGACAGACGTGGACGTGGGGAAGCCCAGAGGTGGTGAGGACAGAGTGGGCTCCGTCGGGAAGGGCTGGGTGGGGAGTGGGAAGACAGGGAAGGCCGGTGGGAGCCAGCCCAGGGGCAGGGGCAGGAATGGCAGCATTGGAGGACTCCCCTGCTTGGGGCTCTGGCAACCGGGCTCACCTCCCTCTGTCCGCTGCAGGATGGGGTGCGTGAAGTCCAGGTTCCTCCGGGACGGCAAGATCTCGAAAGCTGAGCCCAACACCACCGCACACAGCCCTGGAGACATGCCGGACCCCACATCCATGGCCAAGCTGGTGAGTAGAGGAGGAGCCCAGCGTCCTGGGGGCGCTGCCCGAGGCTGCCCCAACATTGCCCTAACGGTCTCCTGTGTTCCCGAGGCCGGGAAGGGTGGTTTGGGGTGAAATGGAGCTGACCGGCCACCAGCAGTGCCCTGACTCTCCAGGACACAGATCCAGGATGCGTCCAGGACAAGGAAGTCACTTGTCCTTCTTCCGCAGTCCATGCCTTGGCCCGTCAGCCTGGGCCCCCCAACCAGGTCTGAGTGAGCATCGGAGGCCTCGGGCCAGGGCAGCAGCAGAAGTAAGAAGCAGCTGAGAGCAATGAGTGATCAGATGAGTAACAGCGACAGTAATGGTAGCATCAGCGTCATCGCAAAAATACAGTAACATCTGTAGTGATAATAGTAACAAGAGTAATGGTGGGAGTATAACAACAATAGTAGCAGCAGGAACTAAGAGAAGTGGTAATACTAGCAGAGTCCTTACTAACTTCTGTTATGCTCACGTAGAGCTTATTATGAACCAAGCACTCTCCTGAGCGCTTTGTGATTAACCCCCAATCCTCACAATAATCCTATTGTAGATAACGATTTTTATTATACCCATTTTACAGATGAGGGACGGAGATTAAATAACTTGCCTAAGGCCCTGTGGTTAGTAAGGGGTAGAGTGAGGAATGCAAACTCTGGGCAGTGCAGGTCCCAAAGTACCCGTGGGAACAGCAAGCGTAACAGAGGCAGAAGCCAAATACGACTGATGGGAACAGTAGCAGTGGTGACAGCAGTGATCGTGGCCGCAGTGGTGATGGCAATGGCGGCAGCGTTCGTCGTGGCTGCGCTAGTGATGGTAGTTGTGGGGTGCTAGGCATGAGAGCAGGAATAGTAATGGTAGTGACAGCGGTGGTAACAGTAATAGTACTAGCACAGCGATGGTGACGACAGCACTAACAGCAGCAGTAACGGTTGTAATCATCGTTACTGTCCTGTGTGTGTGTGTGTGTGTGTGTGTGTGCGCGTGTGTGTTTGAAGTACACAAAATGTGTATGGCCAGAGAGTGGTCAGCACTGCGGAGGTTGACAGGGGTGTAGGGAAGTCCTGTCTGGGGTGGACACTTGGGGAACGGGACAAGAGGGCCAAGTGGGTCTGTTCCTGGTGCGGGCCCCGTGTTCCAGCAGAGACCCGCTGCCTGTGTGTTTTTTAAGATTTTTAAAATTTGTTTATTTATTTATTTAGAGACAGTGTCTTGCTCTGTCACCCAGAGCTGGAATGCAGTGGTACAATCATAGCTCACTGTAACCTTGAATTCCTGGGCTCAATTCTCCCACCTTAGCCTCCTGAGTAGCTGGGATTACAGGTGTGCGCCACCATACCCAGCTAAATTTTTTTGGCTTTTTGTAGAGATGGGGTCTTTCTATGTTGCTCAGGCTGGTCTTGAACTCCTGGGCTCAAGCGATCCTCCCACCTCGGCCTCCCAAAGTGCTGGGATGACAGGCGTGAGCCACCGTCATTACTGTTCTTTGAACAGCTCCTGTGGTCCAAGCACTGGAGTGAGGTGTTTCTGTATCATTAATCCTCATCCAAGGCTGTGAGGCAGCAGTTATGCGGCTTTACAGGGTGACTAAGGCTCTAAGAGGTTAAATGGCTCCGGGGGGTGACAGAGCTGGGAAGCAGTAGAGTCAGGTCTTCTAACCCCAGACCTGCAGGTCCCTCTTCTCTGTGGCCGTTTAGCCCATCCCCCTATCTGAGGTTGTCTGGGGGAGCACAGCCCCTGCTGGATGCCTCCCGAGGTGGGGGTGCACTCCTTTCCTTAGAAAGTTCTTCCCCGTGTTGAAGGAAGGCCTACTGCCCCATAACCCTTACGCCTTGACCCCAAACACACCCACTCCCTTTGCCCCACGACTCCCTTCAATAGAGATTGAAGGCAAAGGTCTTATCCCAACCCGTCCATCCCTTCCAAGTCATCTTCCACAGGACACGGGCGTGTGGCCTCTCTCCATCCTTCTTGCCCTTCTCTAGGCATGATGACCAGAACAGGACTGATTCTGGAAATGGGAGAATAATGGAATGGCCACCTCCCTCCCTCTGCCACTCGACCTCTATTAATGCAGCCTGAAATTACACACATGTCTCCCACTGGTGACCCCCTAAGCTGACCACAGGCTATAAATGCTAAGTCACTCCCAAATCTGCTCCTCTCCTAGCCTGTGTGGCCCCGGGCCCTTTCTCGGTGAGGGCTCTGGGTTCTCAGGCTCTCTGAGGTCCTCTGGCTTGTCCCCAGCAGAAGGCAAACTCCCACCAGTTTCTGGTTGTGCTTTTCGAACATCAGATTTGAGGGATGCAGTTATCAGCTATTCATTGTTCTCTTCCTGCAGGGTTTTAGTTCAGTAAAGTGTTCCTCAGAGAAAGGGCTCCCAGGTCAAGTCAGTTTGAGAAACACTGGGTGAAACAGACTCCTTCCCTGCAGGACTTCTCAGAGCCTTTGTGAACCTCTGTAATGGGCTTGTGAATCTCCCAAAATATGATGTATTCCTCAGTGTTTCCTAAACTTATTTCTTCAAGTTAATGTTTACTTACAAGTGTGACACACGAATATGTTTTTCTTAAAAGTAAAAAATCACAAATTATAGGTAAAGCTACAGTGTCTACTGGCCAATGCTTCCCTCCCGAGAAGTCTCGCACCCCTCAGAGGTTTCCCTGTTGTCAGTGTGGTGTGGACCCCGGCAAACCTTTTTCGTGAATCTACGCTCACATGCATCTAGTGTGTGTCCACAGAAAACATTTAGGATGTGTGTGTGTGTATGTACTTTACATTGAAATATTATATTTATCATTCTGCAGAACTAGCTTTTTTTCATTCAACAAAGTATCTCTGAGGTCAAGCTATATCAAGTAATGAGTCTCTCCTCCCTCTTGTGAGATCTGCGTAGAGCACCATGGTTTTAGGTGCCAATTCCCCTTAGGATGGACCCTTAGATCGTTTCACATACACAATGGGATATGTTGGTAGACCCACAATTTCTTCAAACACACCTCGGAAAACACTGACCTGGGCCAACCCCATCACGTATGTTGGGGGGAAGGGCCAAGAAGCACCCCGAGTATGTCAAAGACCAAAGGCAGAGGCCACAACTCAAGAAATCTACTGGCTCTGCCCCTAATGTGCCATGTGATGTCAGGCACGTCCCCAATCCTCTCTGGGCCACCTTCTGTGACATGCAGGGCCAGGGTAAGATGCGCTCAGGTGTCCTTTCCAACATGGACCTTCCGTGGCTCCTCACACACTATCAGACTCATTCCCTTCTCCCGTTTCTTCCCCACAGGGGCCTAACAGCAACAATGGCCACCCACCGGGGTTTGTGGAGGGTGAGTATGAGACAAGCAGGTGCCGTGGAGTCATGCATGTATCGTGTATAGGGTTAGGTTAGGTTCTCAGTCAGAGCTTGAGGCAAAAATCCCAAAGAGTCAAAACCATCCCTGAAAATCCCCTAAATTGCCCCGGAAGTGCTTTGCACGGGCTGTTGTGTTTCTACACCACTGTTCAGGAACATGAACACAACACTGTTAGCTTCAACTCTAGAATCTCAGCCGGCGTGGAAAGATGCTTACTTACGCCCTGGGTGTGTCCGTGTGCAGAGCTGGGTGCCAGGGGCTGGGATGGGGCCCCCTGGGCTGTGGGTGTGCTTGGACAATGCCACACCGTCCCACGTGCCTCCTTCCCAGCAGGCTCTGAGGACGTCGTCGTGGTTGCCCTGTACGATTACGACGCCATTCACCATGAAGACCTCAGCTTCCGGAAGGGGGACCAGATGGTGGTCCTGGAGGAGTGAGTCCCCACACCATTGCCCCTAGGACATACCTGCCTCCAACACTCAATCACACCCTCTTTTGTGCTTCAGTAAAGACCCCGATAGACGGTCTTATCCTGGGTGTAGATGGTTGATGAGAACCTGATCATAGCAGAGGAGGAAGGCTTTGCTGCCAACCGGGCGATGGCTGGGGTCAAGGGGACTGCGCGCTCACTAGCAGTGCACATCCAAGCTGCGAAGAACAGGCGGACGCCCTTTCTCAGGGAAGCCTTCCTGGGGTGATTAAGCTACCTGCTCACCTGTGGGCCCGGCCCTACCGAGGTGACTCTGTGTTCAGAAATCCTTGGATCTCTGAGTGTGCCACCTCCAATCTCCTACAGCCCTCGCCATCAGTGGGTGTAGTGTCCAAGGTGTTCTGGGGCCCAAGCTTGGGGATGGTCATGCTTGGCTGGACTCTTGAGTCGACTCCCTCCTGCTCTCGCCCCTGCTGAGCCACTTGAGTCTCCCGTGGACACAGGGCCCCACCTTGGACATGGCTAGTAAGGCAAAGCTGCAAGCCCAGGGAAGAGCAGTGGGGCCGAGGGCCCAGGGCTTGGGCTGTGGGTTCAGGGACAGGGCTTAATTCTAGACCCTCGGATGCCCAGCAGGGACTGTTGTAAAGATCCCTACCTAATCTTGGGGCAGCGCAGGGGGCCAGGACATTCGTGGCTCTGACGTTCCCGTTACTGGCTTCCTGAGGGTCAGGGGGTTCCTAGGCCAAGCCTGGGGGGCCAAGGAGACTGAAGAATGGTCCTTCTGCTCCATGACCCCTTTACTTCCTCCGTCCCTCAGGTGTGGGGAGTGGTGGAAGGCTCGATCCCTGGCCACCCGGAAAGAGGGTTACATCCCAAGCAATTATGTAGCCCGTGTCAACTCTCTGGAGACAGAGGAGTAAGTATTCCATTTCCTGCCTTCCAGAAGGGAACATGAGCAAAGCCAGCCCTGTTCCTGTCTCAGGACCTTTGCACACACTGTCTCCCCTGCCTGGTACGCTCTTCCTAGGGCTCTTGGCTTGGCTGACTCCTTCTCATCCTTTGGGTCTCAGAAAGGACTTCCCTGACCACCTCGTCTAAATGGGTCCCCTCTGTGGCTCTCTCTTATGGAAACCTATTTTATTCCCTTCTGAATGCTCCTCACTGGCAAAAACTACCTCCTTGCTTCTTTGGTTGTTCACATGTGTGTTGTCTGTCTTCCCCACACGGCTGAGAGCTCAAAAAAGCAGAGACTTTGTCCGCTGCTGCTGCATCCTTGGCACAGGTTAGCAAGCAGTATGTGCTCAATAAATGTTTGTCGAATGAAGCATATGGTCATGCCAAGAGGGGTCTTTGGAGAGGTGAGATGGCTCACACCTGGCCAGTCATCTCTCATTTGATTCATTCAGCAAACAGGTGCCTGCAACTCACCAGGCCCTGGCCTCAGTAGGGCTCGTGAGAAAAAATAAGACGTATCCCTGCCCTCAATCAGCTCCCTGTAACCCATCACTCTTGGCTGTAGGTTCTTCCTTGTGTCTAGCTTGACTCTGGAGTATAGTTTTACCTCAGTCATTCATCCGCCCATCCATCCATCCTCCAACAGATCTCTGTTCAGTCCCTACTGTATACCTGCCCTGTTCCAGGGCTACAAGGTGGCTCAGATGGGACTCCCCCAGAGATGTTCACTGCGTGGTGGGCAAGGCTGGTGGTAAAAAGATGACTACACCATGGGGTGGCGAGACATCCAATTAAGAACCAGCGAGTCGCCATTGTTTTATCTCCTCTGCCTCCTCCCTCCAGCTAGATGGTATTGTGGGTTTGGGACGCTTGCCTGTTAAAAATTAAAATGTGTAGGCTTTTTCCATCTTAAAACCACCCCCTTCTCAGTGACCATGAAAGTACATGCCACAGGGGGGTCTTAGCTGCTTCTCTCTCCTCCTGGACTTTTTCCTGGGGCATCCCGCCTTCTGTTCCCCACTCCAGGATCTGGGCCCTTACAGAATCCCCACGTCACCGCATGTGGTCCTTGCAGCAATCTCGGATTGGCCGGTGTTATTCCTCAAAGGCAACGTAATTGCTAAGTGGAGAAGGCAGGGTGCTGACCACATGTAGAGTGGGTTATCATCTGCAAACAAAGGCAATACCTAAATGGGTGGTTCTCAAACTCGAGCAGGCATCAGCATGGCCTGGAAAGCTGGCTGCCGGCTGGTTTCTGGACCCCACTGTCTGATTCCGAATGTGCATTTCTAGCAAGCTCTCTGGTGAGGCTGTCTGACGCTGCTGGTCCGGGAACGTGTCTTGGGACCGTTGATCTAAACACATGTATCAGTCCTTGCAGTGCACTCGCAGGTTGTTGTGTCTGCATCAAGAAACTGCTAACAGAGGTTGCCTCTGGGGAGGGCAACTGGGACATTGGGAATCAGGGTGGCACAGAATCTTACTTCCTCCCACCCCCTCCTGGAATAGACAATACTTTCAAATGTTTCAAAATGCAAATGGTGGAGAAGGATGTATTATAGATAGAATACAGTGTGGAAGGCCTCCTTCCCACCCTGTCCCCAGCCAACCACTTCTCCTTCCCAGAAGCAACCAGTTTCTCGTGAGTCCTCCCAAATGCTTTACACTTGCATAAGCAAATGCATCTACCCCTCCTTTATTGTACGCAGTGTAGATACGATACACACTGCCCTGCACCTCCTGTTCAGACCCTCCCTGCAGCAGCTCCTTCCTCTGTGTCTGTCCTGCAGATGCCCCGCATCCATCCAACCAGTCCCCTATCAGTGGAGGTGCCTCCAGTCTTGTGCTTCAGTCAATCTCCTTGTGTATATGTCGCGTTTCCCTTATGCAAGATCTGTGGGATATTTCTGTCTCCTTGGATAAAAGAAAAAAAAAAAAAAGATCTGTGGGATAACTTCCTAGGGGTGGAATAGCCAGGGAGACCATTCTTTCTATATACCCTCTTGCATTGTTGAATATTTTACCATGTCATGCATCGCTTTACAACATGAAAGCAAACAGGGCAGGTGGGCAACATAGTATGGTGATTGAGAGCTTGGGCTCTGGAGTTAGGCTGCCTAGATTTGCATCGTGCCTCTATAACTTCCTAGCTGTGTGACTCCGGGCAAGTTGCTTGCCCTCTCTGTTCCTCAGCTTCCTCATCTATAAAATGGGGATAATAAAGGTCACAATGCCATAGAGTTGGTGGGTGGATTACAAGAACTCAATGGATGTTAGCTTTCTCCCCAGTTCATAACAGAGGAAACAGAGGCCCAGAGAGGGAAAGCAACTTGTTCAAAGTCACACAGCAGGTTGATGGCAGGGCCACAGCCTGCTGATGTCTGGTCTGGGGCTTTTTCCATCACAGTACATGAAATGCTCCTCACCCTAGTCAAGGGAGGAATGGATTTGGCTGCTACTGCTTGAACTTTTCCACCAACATCCCAGATATCCAGAAATAATGAAGAAAAGTTCCCAGGATGTTGTCCCAAGTTTAAAATTCTTTGCAGTCTCACATTTTAGCTTAGAAATTCATGCCAACTTTGTATTTGGCTCTGAATACACAGTGGAGGACTGACTGTGAAGCTAACAAACCCCAGGTCCTCATTCCCACGGGCCTCCAAGGCCCTGAGAGGAATCCCCCTCGTGGTCATGTGTGCATGTGAAATTTGCAAAAGTAAGATTTTCTGACAGCAGTTGGCTAAGACTGCTGTCTCACTCCACGCAGTCCTGCTGTCCAGCTCCCTATCCCTCTCACCGAGTGGCACTGGAATGACCCGTGAGCATTTTGCATTTGCAATGCTGTATTATTTTTCTTAGAGAAAGCCCTCTCTGCCCCCACATTGCACAGGCTGCAGTCTCAGCAAACTGGGTTCACTACTGGTTGCTTTGCTATCAAAAGAGTGGCTCTCCCGGTCCCTCAACCAAAAAAAATCCTTGAGTAAAAACTGATGGTGCGGAAAGCGAGTCCCTCGTATCCTGACTCCCACGTGGGCCCTGCATGGCCACAGGTGCCCTGCGTGAGCGGGACAGGGCTGCACACCCCAGGCTCACTGCTCTCCCCTTCCCACCAGGTGGTTCTTCAAGGGCATCAGCAGGAAGGACGCAGAGCGCCAGCTACTGGCTCCCGGCAACGTGCTGGGCTCCTTCATGATCCGAGACAGCGAGACCACCAAAGGTGACATTTCCCCACCTGGCCCCTCCATTCAGGGGTGCCCCAGGCTTGACTGGCCACCATTCCTCCCTCGGAAAGGCTGAACAATTTGCCAGGCTGCACGGCCGCTGGGCTTTCTCCTGCCCTTTGCCACCCTGAGCCAGGGAGGGTTGAGGTTCTGTGTCTGGCTTGGCCCTTCTTATCCCTGTAGGTGACAGCTTAGGTCAACAGAAGTAGTCCCGTGTCGTTCAAGCACCACAAATGAACGAACATCCCGCTGAAGCTTGATCTTCACTAGCTTGTGTTTTTAAAAAATACTCATCACCACATATCTTGTTCCCAAGCCTGATTCCTCCTCCCTCCCTAAGGAAATGAGGTTGCAGGAAGAGACCCCAACAGGCCTTCTCTGGGACTCCGCTTACAGTGCTCTTTGGAAGCATTTGGGAGTTTCAACATCAGGTGACCAGCTTCCTGAAACTCCTGTTCTGAAGGGCGGCTTCATGCCGGGTGGGTGCATGAGAGGCAAGAGCAGCGCCCGAAAACGTCACAGAACCCAAACTGGCCCCAACCGAGGCTCGTCTCCCCAGAGGAGTGAAGGTCGATAGAATTCCCATGATTCCAGATTCACAGGCAGAGTGCACTTCACGAACGCGCTCAGATTCACAACTGCTTGATCCAAATAAACCAAGTCGATTCAGGGTATCCTGAAACAAACAGACTTGGGGACGTCAATCAAAGGCATCTGCGTGGCCCTCTACTTGACCCCTAGCTGTCTGAGCTGGTGAAGCCTTAGCGTGGCTAGGACGGTGCTACTCAGCCCCGCGAATGCTTAGGTTTGGTTTCCTCCACCCAACAAGCCCCCTTCCGGCCCTCAAGGGACAAGAAACCGACAAAAAGGCAAAGCTGGGCACAGCCAGCACTTGTCTCCCGCTGTGCCCAGGACAGCGTGGGGACTGGGCTAGTCCATTCTGCCAGGGTGGAAAACTTAGTATTATAGGTGCTCACGGCATGGGTGGAGAAAGGTTTCTCACACAGAGATTAGGAGACAGATATATGTAAAAAAGTTTATTTTGTCTTCTTAGAAGGAGAGAGAATGAGAGCGTTGAGAGAGAGAGGAGAGGGCGGGCAGGGAGAGGCGTAGCATCCTAAGGAAAGAGAAGGGGCTGCCAGCACTGAGGCCGAGTGCCTTGCTGATTTTATGGGGACAAAGAGAAAGGAAAAATATAGCGATTGCTGGGAGAAACCGTTGCCTTTAGAAGCGGCTGTGGAGTAATTAGCAGGGGGCAGCGCGAGAGGTCAGGTTGTCCGTCTTTCTTGTTTTCTTAGCTCTGAAATTTAGTCGGGGGATGCGATTCAGCCCCCGAGATATGGTTTTGGGCAGGAAGCTAAGGCCTGGAGTTTGCCCCCTGCTGTCCTTCCAGGAGCTTCTCAGGAACACCTAGAGGCTATAAAACAAATTCTAAAGGCAGTGAGCTGGTGAAGTAAGGAGAAAGATTTACATTTCCTTTCTGTCTTTCGGCTCTTTTCAGATGTTTGTGAAAACAGAGCCCCTGCTCGGTGCCTGTCAGCCAGGGAGAGAGAGAACAGGGAGCCGGGAGAGCTCATGATTGATCCTTAGGTGTTATTAGGAAATTGAAAGATTAGATATTTTCCTGTTATTTCAGCAAGGCCGACCCTGTCACATCCTGCAGACAGGGGTAGAAAAACCAAAGAGACCATCACAGACCTGTGGGGCAGGTAGCCTGGTCCAGCTGTCATGGCCCTCCAAGGTAGAGGTGCGGGTGGCGGGTAGCTGACTTAGTAAAACTTGCAGCGTAGGGCCCCTCAATCCCGTGTGCTGCTCCCTGGATTCTGCCCCGCTCCCATCCAGCATCAGCTAAACCACTTTCACCTTGACTGGAACAGAGTGACTAAGGGGGCAACCTGGAGTCAGCTGCCTGGGTTTGAATCCCAGCTGTGCCCCTTATCAGCTGTGTGACTGCAGGTGAGTTACTTCACCTCTCTGGGCCTCAGTTTCCTCATCTGTAAATGAGAATGATGAGATTATAAAACCTCTACCTCTACCCTGGGGTTACTCATTCATTATAATAAACAATATCATTTATATAATTATAATTCAGTATAATGAATATTATTAATCTTCATTCACTGTTCATTTGTACAGGGTGATTAGAACAGTGCCTGGCAAGTATGGTTAGCTGTTATTCATTCAACAATTTTTTTTTTTTTTTTGGAGACAGGGTCTCACTCTGTCACCCAAGCTGGAGTGCAGTGGCACGATCATAGCTCACTACACCCTTGAACTCCTGGTCTCAGCTTCCCGAGCAGCTAGGATTACAGGCTTGTGCCACCACATCCAGCTAATTTTTAAAAATTTTTGTACAGACAAGGTCTTACTATGTTGCCAAGCATGGTCTGGAACTCCTAGCGTCAAGCGATCCTGCCATCTCGGCCTCCTGAGTAGCTGGGATTATAGGCACCAGCCACCACACACAACTTCTTTCAACAATTTAAACCTCCCCAGAATCCTATGACATTGTGCTATTATGGCATAGAAAACTGAGAGACAGAGGGGCTAATAACTTGCCCAAGGGCACACAGCTCGCAAATTGTAAAACTGTGGTCATGGACTGGGAGACTTGTGTGTTTCTGGTCTGTGTGATAACGTGTATTAGGTTTGTATTGCTGCTATAACAAATTGCTACAAATTTAGTGGCTGAAAACAGCGTTAAGTCTCTTACCTTACAATTCTGGGGGTCAGCAGTCTGACCTCATTGGGCTCAAGTCAAGGCGTCAGCAGGGCTGGTTCCTTCTGGAGGCTTCAGGAGAGAACACATTTCCCTGCCTTTTCGGCTTCTGTAAGCCACAGCATTCCTTGGCTCACGGCCCCTTCCTGACATCTCTCCAACCTCTTGTTTCCATCTTCACGTCTCCTGCTACTGACTTCGACCTTCTCATCTCCCTCTAGCAAGGACCCGTGTGATTACATTGGGGCTGCCTGGATAATCCAGGATGATCTCCCCATCTCCAGATCCTTAATCACAGCTGTAACAGCTTTTACCGTGTAAGGTAACGTATTCCCAGGTTCCAGGGGTTAGAGTGTGAACATCGTGAGGGACCATTATTCAGTCTCCCACAATGTGCTCTCATTTCAATAACTGCACTGGATTTCTGAATAGTCCGACTTTTTACCAAACTGGTATGATTTCTTGGTTTTTTGTTAGCTAAATGATAAGAAAGGAAGGAAGGAAAGAAAGAAGAAGGAAGGAAGGAGGAGAAGAAGAAGAAGGAGGGAGGGAAGGAAGAAAGGAAGGAAAAGATAGATTAGAAATAATAACGAAGATGATGATGATGGCCAACATTGCTGAATGTTTAGGTCCCGAGTGCTTTCCAAGCGTTTTTTATTTTAATTGTCAGGCAATGTGGTGAGGTAGGGAGGCATGACTAGTCCCATTTTACAGATGAGGAAACTGAGGCACACAGAAGTGGTGTAGTCACTTACCCAAGGTCCCACTGAGGAACGTGGGAGAGCCTGGATGAGAACCCAGGATGCCTGGTCCACCCACCCACTCTGACCCTTGTGCACTGCTGCCCAGGTGACAGGACGGTGCCAGTGATAGTCTTAAGGGGGTGTCAGGGTGTTGACATGAGGTAGCAGGCCTCTGAGGTGCCATTCTGAGGGGTTTCTCTTTGGCCGATGCAGGGAGCTACTCTTTGTCTGTGCGAGACTACGACCCCCAGCAAGGAGATGCAGTGAAGCATTACAAGATCCGGACCCTGGACAACGGGGGCTTCTACATCTCTCCGAGGACGACCTTCAGCACCCTGCAGGACCTGGTGGCCCACTACAAGAGTGAGTTCTGTCCCAGGGCTGCGTCCCCGTGGGGATGGGTCCGGGAATCCTAGCCAGGGTGCCCTGCGGCCTCTGGGGCCTGCTGAGCTCTTCCTGACCCCCTCCGCCCCTCACATGCAGTTGCTTTGGATTCTCCTGAAGGCTTAGCCTGCTGAGCAGGAGGGTGGAGGTGGCCAAGATGTAGAGGTGGACCCCATCATGCTCTGCTCTCTTGGGAATGTCCCTGATGGTGGCAACCAGGTGGAACACTGGCCAGAGGCGGTGGACCAGACAGGCAGGCCTCCGAGGGGCAGCCTCTGGCTGGCTCAGAGCTCGTTGCCCTCAACTGACCAGGGACTCTGTTCCAGAGGGGAACGATGGACTCTGCCAGAAGTTGTCGGTGCCCTGCGTGTCCTCTAAGCCCCAGAAGCCTTGGGAGAAAGATGCCTGGGAGATCCCCCGGGAATCCCTCAAGCTGGAGAAGAGACTCGGAGCTGGGCAGTTTGGGGAAGTCTGGATGGGTAAGGACCCAGGGCCAGAGGGGGAGAGGGAGGGTTCTCGCTTCCAGGAGCACTTTAAGGCAAAGTGGGAGTGCTACCCAAGGCAGAAGGGGAGATTGGAATAGCAACTGCGAAAGAGCAGTTCCTCGTAGCGAACCAAATTGCCCTGCTGTGCAAAGGCTGATTTGCCTTTGAGACCAGGCCTGTGGGGGTCAAAACTTCCTCCTGGGAGGCAGGAGTCCTCACTGAGGAATCTGCCCCACTCCCCATAGGGAGCTGGGACAGCCTAACAGTTTGGGGTTGGGACAACCAGAGGCCTCTTGGGATGATGAAAATTAAGCCTGGGGAGATGCAGCTGGAGATTTCCAGGCAGGTTCAATGCTGGCAACTGATGAACGGCACCGTGTTAAGGCATCACGGGCATCTGAAGGGCACATTCCACCCCTGCTGTGCTCGTTTGGTACCTTGAGACCCGCAGTGGCTGCTTCGCAGGTTGTGGGGTAGAGCCTGGGGCACCCCACTGTGTTAATACTCCACTGCCTTCCAAATGGCAGCCAAGACAGCCTGCAGAGATGCAAACAACTCAGCCAGACAAAATAAGTTTAAAATCCATGTATTTCGACTACATGCCTTGAGATCCTGCTGTGTGCTAGGTGCCAAATAGAAGAATAGGACAGAAAGATAATACAGAGAGGCAGGTGAGACATATCTGAGTGGTGTGCTTGGAAAACCAAAAATATTAGACACGGCCCTGGACTCTTACCGCAGGAAGCCCACAGATCCGGATTGGAGCTTCCCGGAAGCCAAGGCAAAATGGAAACCCGAGCAGTTATGAGATTGATGAGAACCGCAAAATGAAGCAGGGTGGGGTAGGGTGGAGGAACAGCATGTGCCAAGTCCCTGTGGAGGGACGGGAATGGGGTGCTTGAGGGATTGAGTGACATACAGGGTGGTTGGTCCAAGAAGGGCAAGAGTGAGTTTAGTGGCTGACGAGGCTAGAGTGGTGGGCAAGGCCAGATCAGGGCCTGTGGGTCACATTAAGTCTGGTATTTCTTTTAAGAGCAGTATTAAGATTTAAGTGGGTAGCGGGGAGTGACAAAATCTGAGTGCTGTTTTGCAGTTATTTTTTAATCTTTGCAGCAGCCCTTCCAAGGGAGTGATTATCATTTCTGCTTTACAGATGAAGAAAGCACAGCTCAGAGAGGTTAAGTGACTTGCCCGAGTACACACAGCTAGGAGGTGGTGAAGCAGCCTTCCAACCCACATCTGTCTGAGGGCCGAGCCCCAGCCTTCCCTTCCCTCTGCGAGGGCTGAAAAAGACAGGGAAGGCTTCCTGGAGAAGGCAGGTCTGCAGCCCCGCCTTCGAATGGGTTGGGGGAGACCAGCGGGCTCTGACCACTTTCCCTGCTCCCTGTCTGCCTCCAGCCACCTACAACAAGCACACCAAGGTGGCGGTGAAGACGATGAAGCCAGGCAGCATGTCGGTGGAGGCCTTCCTGGCCGAGGCCAACCTGATGAAGACCCTGCAGCACGACAAGCTGGTGAAGCTGCACGCCGTGGTCACGGAGGAGCCCATCTTCATCATCACGGAGTTCATGGCCAAAGGTGCCGCGTGCTGGGCGCTGGGGATGCAGGCTGTGGCCGTGCTCATCCGTGGCAGGCTCAAGGGTGACTTTGACGTGGTTCTTGCCCTTGAGGTGCCCCCAATCTGGCCAGGAGCTCTTCCAGCCAGTACTCACTGAGCGCCTTAATGTGGAACAATCCCACCCTCCTGGCGAATGGGGTGAAATTACATTAAGGGGCCGCCAAGGGAAAGGGAGAACATGGAGACGCCAGGAGAGGGGAGTGGGGCCAGAGCCCTGCTGGGCGACAGGAGGAGAGGCTTATGCATTCACGGTGAGCCTCAGAGTCCAGGGGTGACCCTCCCATCATCAGCCACCTTCCTTGTGTACTCTGGGAAAATGAGCTGGCGAAACAGCAGTTCCAGCCCCCCATCCCCGCCACAGTTCGGGATTTCTCAGGGACGTGTTTAGGCCACCATTTCACAGCCATTTCCAACCCCTGCCCATTTCTGCATGAACAGAAACATCTCACACGATCTCACTGAGTGTGATTTGAAATCTCAAACCTTTTTTCATTTTCTAAATACATGACTATGCAGCCCTGGGAAGCCATGACCCCAGGCATCAGAAGGCTTTCTCAGCCACAGCACCCAACTAGCAATCAGAAAGTCTCTTCAAAAAAACTCCAGTTCTCTTTCTCGAATGCTAGGAATGGTAAACAAATATTTTCATTTAAATCCACTACTATGAAAACTTTTAACCACGCGCAGAAGCAGCAAGAATAGTAAATGTTCCTGTCCCCTCCCGCATGTAGGAAGCCTGCTGGACTTTCTGAAAAGCGACGAAGGCAGCAAGCAGCCCTTGCCAAAGCTCATCGACTTCTCAGCCCAGGTGGGAGCCTCATGGGGAAGTTGGGGGAGGGGGACAGGACTTCAAGTTGTTATTCAACCAATATTTGCTGAGCCCATGCTATAATACTAGCTATAATAATGGGCAACAGGTATTCAGGGTCAGTATAAAAATATACCTTTTGTATGTACTTTGCATGTACTGACTCAGTTAATCTTCACATCATCCTTACAGGGTGGGATTTTTGTTAGCTATTGTTATGTAACAAACAACCCAAAGCCTTGTAGCTTGAAACAACGGAGATTATTATTTCCATGATTCTGTGGGTTGCTTGGGCTTGGCTGGGTGGTTCTTCTGCTCCACGTGTTGAAGTGAGTGATGCGATGCATACTGCTGAGTGCTTGCCTGGAGCTAGAGTGGCCTAGACCGTGGCTCGTCCTCCAGGTCCCTCCTCCATGTGTCCCCTCACCACTCAATCGTCCGTCCAGAGCTTCTCTGTGGCACACAGCAGCTAGGTTCCAAGAGGGAGTGTTCCAAGGGACCAAGCTCTAATATGCAAGTGCTTATTACACGTGTGCTTGCATTGTGCTTGTTCATGTCCCATTGGCCAAAGCAAGTTACAGGGCCATGCCTAGGGTCAGTGTGGGAGGGGGCTGCACAAAGTCACAAAAATCCCAGGAGGCATGGCTTATTGGGGGCCCCCGTTGTAATAGTCTGGCCACAGGTAGGTAATTGGCATCTCATTTTACAGAAGAGGAAATTGAGACATAGAGAAGAAGTTAAGTGCAGATGAGGAAACTGAGGCCCAGTGTGATTAAGTAACTTGCCTAAGTCACTGGGCTAATTATGGGGAACGCAGCAGTGAACAAAATGGAGGATGTTCCCGTCCTCATAGAGTTTGCCGTCCAGATAGGAAGACAGGTATTAAACAACGGAATCTCTGAGAGAGCCATGACCCAAGCGGTCCTGGCTCAGAGTGAAAAGAGCACGGTATCCAGCAAATAATGTGCACAAATCACAGAAAACCTCATTTTCTTTCTCATCTTCCCCTCACCCCCTGCAGCTCCTCTCACCCGCAGCCTGGGCGGTTTTTACTTCTGTCCTCTCTCATGCTCACTCCTGTCTATGGGAAAACAGGGGAGGACAGGAGGGCCATGGGAGTGCACAGCTGGAGCATTTAGCCTGGTCCAGGAGCAATCAGAGAAGGCTTCCCTGTGGAAGTGGCCTCTAGGCTGAGCCTGAAGGATGAGTAGGAGTTCAGCTGATGAAGAGGAAAGGGAAGGACGGTCTAGACCATGGTCTCCAACCTTTTTGGCACCAGGGACTGTTTTCCTGGAAGATAATTTTTCCATGGATTGGGATGGGGGCGGGGGGGAGATGGTTTTGGGATGATTCAAGTGCATTACATTTATCGTGCACTTTATTTCTATTATTATTACATTGTAATATATAATGAAATAATTATAAAACTCACTGTAGGTTGGGGACCCTTGGTCTAGACAGAAGAAACAGCCTGTGCAAAAGCCCAAAGGGGAGAACAAGGGAGCTTGGCCTAGTCAACTGGAGCCTGGAGGGTGACGAGATGAAGGGGTAGGGTTTGGAGCCTGGCGGGAGTTGAGGGAGACCTGGCCTGGGCCTACTAGAGATGCCAAGGGCAGGGCTCGTTTGAGTATGCAAATTCCAGGGGCCCAAAGGCCACCACAAGTATGATAAAAAGGCTCCACTTTCAGAGCCTGGAATGCCAGAGGCATATGGAAATCAAGGCCTGGCATTTTCACGCCAATGGGCCCAGTCACTGGAAAACAATAGTATGGCCTGTTGCTAAATTATAACCACCAAATTGGCCAAAACCTTCCTGGGCAATAGTCACTGATTGGGGCAAGAGCACTAGACCCATCTCACAGATGGGAAATCAAACCAAGAAAGAGAAGGAGGTTCTGGGCCTTCGTATATCCAGAAGCAGAGGTAGACTCAGAGCCGAGGGACGGGAAGGAGCCCACCCTCAGGGCAAGGGTGCCCAGCCTGTCACCAACTGGCTGTTGACCTGGCTGGACCACCTATGTGGTTTTCAAGTTCAGCCACTCTTTTTAGTCATAATTCTGTTGGTCAAAATAAAATTTTATACAGTAGCTGAATATATAAAAACAGGTCAAAACAGAGCTGCTCTGACTAAAGCGGGGGATGGGGGAGCCTCATATGTGCCCTTTCTTTTGTCCCCCACCCCCAGGCAACATTGAGTCATCAGCAGGTTTCAATTCAAAGAGCCCTGGGCTGGAATGTCCCCACCAGTCCTTCCAGCTCTGAGTCTGTGATTCCCTGATACTCCTGGAAGCAAACCCAGGTTCCAATGCCCAACCTCACGGCACCCAGTTTGGTGATCGTGAAATCCCACCACCTCATCAACCCTTACATCAATTCTTACACCCGGGCCCGGTAAACCTATCCATTATTCATTCAGTTGACAAATCCTTGAGAAGCAACCAACACTCAGCAAGCGTACAGGCTTAGGAATCACAGAGAGATTTGTTTTGATCCCAACTCTGCCTGTGCAGCTTCGAGCATGTTGCTTAACCTCTCTGAGTGCCACTCCTCCCAGTGGCAGCATGGATAGCCACGATTGAAGTGAATACTTACCATGTGCCAGACACTGCCTTAATGTAGGCTTAGACCTCTCAGAGGCAGGTGCTATTGTTGTTCCCACTTTACAGAGAAGACAAATGAGGCACAGAGGGGTCAAGTAGCTTGCTGGAGCTCACAGAGCTATGGGGCTTAAGCTGAGCTGGTCCAACTCCAGAGCCATCTAGCTCTTACCCTCCACTATCTCCTAAGTGGGCTTGGTCATACCTGCTCCACTGAGCTCCTGTGAAAACCAGTAATATAAGAACATCTGTCAGTTAAACAATGGTACCTACCAGCGTGAGTGTCTGCTGCAAAGGAAATATAAGTTAAGGAGGTCGGGTAGAGCAACAGTAGGTACATGGACCCTGAGCAGGACTTTCAGGGTTCCAGCCCTGGTTCTGCAACTTGCAAACTGTGTAACCTGGGGCCGATTATTTATTTCTCTAGGCTTCAGTTTTCTCATCTGTGAAAAGTACCTCCACCAAAGCGCACAATAAATATTGTATAAGTAAGTATCATCCTAGAATAAATAAGCTACAATATCTGCCATTAGCTTAATAACTTTTGCTAGCTATTCATCTAAAGATTCCATATAAATTTCTCACACTCCCCAGACCAAGACCCTGTCTCATTCCATCCCCCCGACCAGTACCCCAATCCGCACTGCTCCATAACAAAATCAGAAAATCTCTTTCCAAGTTTTTATTCCAAAGTCTGGACCTCAGGTCCGACTGCCTCGGGCGCCCTCTGCTGTCCACTCCGTGCAAGTGTGCCACCCGCTTGCCTCTGGCCTGGAGCCAGCTGGTGGGGCCTCCCTTGGTTCTGTTGGGTCAGATCCTGGCGCCCCCAAGTAATCTCATCAGATTGCACCCAGCTGCTGTCCTTGCTCCAGAGCACTGGGGCGCTGAGTTATTCAGAGGCAGCGTGGGGTACTAGATTGGGAATCCACATACTGGTTTGAGTCTGACATTCAGAATTTTCCTGGTGGTGTAATCTGGAATGTGTCCCCTCCTGGATAAGACAGAACCAATGGTAATTCCTACCCCAAAAAGCTCAAGGCTGGTTTATAAACTATAAGGGCTACTTTCTGGGTATCTGAGGGTTTATCTTAAACCTCTTTTGTCCAAACCATTGTAATTATTACAATAAAAACGTCCCCAAGGCATAATCTCATGCCTTTCCATCGGAGGCTTCCAGGGCCCCCAGTGTGAGTAAGAACCCTCCTCTCAGTCTGTTATTCACTTGACAGCCACGATGACCCTTAAATGTACATCAGAGAGTGTCGCACTCTGCTCAATGGCTTCTCACGCTCAGAATAAAACCCAGCCTCCTCTCCTGGCCTGCAAGGCTGTTCACATTTGGCAACATCACTCTCTCCGCTCCCATGGCATCTTCTGCTCAGCCACCCTGGCCTCCGTGCTGCTCCATGAACACCCAGCTCATTCCTACCCCCAGGCCTTTGCACCTGGTCTTCTCTCTCCCTGGCACGTTCTTATCTGATACACTTATTATTATCAGCATTCAGATCTTAGCTCAATTCTCCCCTCCTCAAAGCAGCCTTCCCTGACCACCCAGTCCAAAAGAGCCCCCTACACATCATGTCTTCTTGCTCAGCTTCATCTCTTCTTCATGGTACTTGTCACCACCTGTTCAAGTAACGTGTCTGGCGCCCAAAGACGCTCGGTAGACTTTCGTTGAATGAATTAAGGAATTTTCCCTACCCAGGCTTAGGGAGGAATAAGATATAAGAGAGATCTCAGAATATTACATGAGCCTGGCTTGTCCCCAGAAAGAAGGTTGAGGGTGAGAGTGCTTCATAGTATCCTGGGGTGTGTGTGTGTGCGTGTTTGTGTGTGTGTGTGTGTCTAGGTCCTGGAGAAAGAGTCCCATTGCCTTTTCGTGAGAACATTTCAAAGTGCTCTCTGGAAGTCTTAGAATTCTAGAGAAGCCCCTAAATGGAACCAGGCCTCAAAGATACCCCCAACCTGGGTGAGTAGACAGAGAAATTCCAGCCTGACTCCCAAACCCTCCAACGGAAAGGGAGCAGCTGGTGCAGATGTTTTCTGGTTTTCTCCCACTGGGACGCTCTGCTGCTTTTGGGTAGACCACCTTGGGCTGGGCCAGGCCTGAGGACGAGGGTGTCTCTGTTTTGGATGCAGATTGCAGAAGGCATGGCCTTCATTGAGCACAGAAACTACATTCACCGAGACCTCCGAGCCGCCAACATCTTGGTCTCTGCATCCCTGGTGTGTAAGATTGCCGACTTCGGCCTGGCACGGATCATCGAAGACAATGAGTACACAGCTCGGGAAGGTAGGGGATGCTGCCAAGCAGGCCTGTGGTGCCCGCTTGCATGGGTCATGAGTGTTGAGAGTCGATACCTGTGAGAGTGATTGGCAAAATGCAAAGACCTCTCCCAGTATTAGCTGTGCATTGTTAAGCTGGGTGGGGTCCTTCTAGGTAGTGTCCTGGACTTCAGAATCTTACCCAGTGACTTTGAGAAGAAGATTTTAGATCAGGCTGGGAAGTACTGATCAATTTCAGACTTAGTTAGGCAATTACATGTTGAAATTAAAAGTAAGAGCAACTTTGTGTGTAATAGACAAAAACTGGGAAGAACCCAAAAGTGCATAAATGGGAGGATGGATGTATAAATTGTGATATGTTCACACAACGTAAACCCATGCAGCAGTGGAAAAGCACAAACCTCTGCTACATGAACAAAATGGGTGACTGTCAGGCATAATATCAAAATGAAATAAATCAAACAAAAAAAGAGTAGGTGCTGGATGGTTCCATTTTCCTGAAGTTCAAAAACAGACAAAACTTGTGTACAAATGCCCATAGCAGCATTATTCCTAATGCCAAAAAATGGTAATTAATGTCCACCAACAAAATGTGGCCTATCCATACAGTGGAATACTGTTTGGCCATAAAGTGGAATGAAGTACTGTAACACACTACAACATAGATGACCCTTGAAAACATGTTAAATGAAAGCCAGACACAAAGACCACATATCGTATGATTCCTTTTACATGGAATGTCCAGAACGGGACATTCTAAAGAGATGGAAAATAGATAAGTTGTTGCCTAGGGCTGGCAGTAGGCAGTTGAGGAGAAATGCAAAGTGACTGCTATGGGAATTTTGGGGGAGGATGTGATGAAAATATTCTAAAATTCACAACTTCGCAAATATTCTAAAAGCCATGAAATTGAACAATTTAAGTGGGTGAATTTTAGGCCAGGCACAAGTGGCTCATGCCTATAACCCCAGCACTTTGGGAGGATGGCCTGAGGCCAGGAGTTCAAGACCAGACTGTGCAACACAGCAAGAACCCGTCTCCACAAAAAATTTAAAAATTAGCTAGGCATAGTGGCATGCACCTGTAGTACCAGCTACTCAGGAGGCTGAAGTGGAAGGATTGCTTGAGCCCAGGGGTTCAAGGCTGCAGTGAGCTGTGATTGCACCCCTGTACTCCAGTCGGGGAGACAGAGTGAGACTCTGTCTTTAAAAAGAAAAAAAGGATGAATTTTATGGTCTGTGAGTTATATCTCAATAAAGCTGTTACAGAAAAAAAGAACAGCAAAATTCAATGATAGGAATAAAGGTTAGCACAGCAGTGACCTGGAGCAGGGAGGTATTATTAGGTTAATACTTAACCTCAGGAGCTGTCCACTGAGGGGACAGGAAGGAGCCTTCTAAAATGCTGAGAATGTTCCACACCTCAATGTGATGTTGATTACAAGGGTATGTACACATATAAGGATGCATCAAGTTGTACATTAAAGATTTGTGCACTTTATTTCATGTTTGTTATGCCATGGTAAAAAAAAAAACTTTAGGGCCGGGCACGGTGGCTCACACCTGTAATCCTAGCACTCTGGGAGGCCGAGGTGGGAGGATGGCTTGAGCTCAGGAGTTCGAGACCAGCCTCAGCAAGATCGAGACCCCGTCTCTACTAAAAATAGAAAGAAATTAGCCGGGCAAACGTAAAAAATTAGCCAGGCATGGTGGCATGTTCCTGTAGTCCCAGCTACTCGGGAGGCTGAGGCAGGAAGACTGCTTGAGCCCAGGAGTTTGAGGTTGCTGTGAGCTAGGCTGACGCCACGGCACTCTAGCCTAGGCGACAGAGTGAGACTCTGTCTCAAAAAAAAAAAAAAAAATTTAACTAAGGGTAATCACTAAAAGAATAAAAGTAGAATGTGTAATATAATTTCCAAACCTGGAAAGGATCAGCAGGAAATAAAGAAAACTCTCCAGAGCCAAAAGAAGGCGAAATGCACACACACACACGCATGGAGCATTTTCAAAACTTGACTATGTACTCAGTCATAAAGCAGGTCTTACCACATTCCAAAGAACATATAACCTAGACCATGTTTACCAGCCATAATATTAATGTAATGAAGATAAACACTAAAAAAAAGTTAACTAAACCCACCTCAGACCAGGTAGAAGGTGGGGAGGAATGGAAACACCCAGTAACTGGTGGCAGAGATCCAAAATCTTCCCTTCCCACATTGCCAGAGGCAAGGGGACTGAGGCATCCACTGTGACCTGGACTCAAGGTCCCCTGAAGTCTTTCTGTCCCCAAAGATTCTGTGACCACTAGGACCTCACTCTTTGGAGTTATAGTTCACTGAAGTATCAGCTAAATCAATGAGGTGGCCTCCAGAGAGTGAGCTTCCACCCCACTCCCCAGGCCCCTCTTGCCCACTTCCCCCGACTTTAGTCATCTGTCCTCAGGACAGATGTCCCTTTTTCCACAGGTAGGCTGTATTGCAGGAAATCACAGTTCTGCAGGGGGCAGCTGTCGGCAGCTGTTGCCCTGTCCTGTTCCCTCACCTTAGCAGAGACCCAGCCCTCACTGCTCCCCAGACTGCCCCTGACTCTGCTCTGTCCACCCCTGCAGGGGCCAAGTTCCCCATCAAGTGGACGGCTCCCGAAGCCATCAACTTTGGCTCCTTCACCATTAAGTCAGATGTCTGGTCCTTTGGTGTCCTGCTGATGGAGATCGTCACCTACGGCCGGATCCCTTACCCAGGTAGGGAGGGGGCCACAGCTGGGGGCTGCTTCCAGGGCCCGGCCTGGCGAGGGCTGCATCTTGGTTGTGTGTCCATTCAGACTGAGTTCTGGGTCCCCACCCCAGCTCCTGTCGCCTTTCCCCTCTAAGTTAAAGGCACGACCAATCATCCAATCTCTTAAGCCTGAAATCTGGGGGCTTCCTTGGCCCTTCCTTCCCTCTCAGCCCTTATAACATCCAAGCAGTCGCAGGTTCTGGCCGTTCCACTCCAAAACACATCCCAGGTCTACCTGCTTCTAACTGCACGGCCTCCAGCGTGCCCAGGTCAGCATCGCCTCTGCTGTGGATGCTGCAGCGGCCTCCTCATCAGCCCTGCTGCTTCCCTCCTCTCCTGCAGCCCGTTCTTCACCTACAGCCACGGGATTGTTCTAAACCGGGAATCCCATCGCGTCCCTTCTCCACTTCTAACTCTTTGATGGTCCCATTATAATTAGGACCAAATCCTGAACTCCCAATGGATACAGCACAATAGATAACTGTGCATTTTTTTGATATTTTCCCCATCAGACTCTACGCTCCATGGGGCCAGAACCGTGCCTGTATTCCTTACCAGTGTGTCTGCAGTGCCCGCCTCTGTGCTTGATGCGTAGTGGGTGCTTAGCAACTGTTTGTGAAATGCCTTAACGTATCCCACACCTGTGGGAAGAGCCCCACATTGAGTAGGCCTGGCAGGCACACACAGATGTACCCTCCAGTTTGGTAGCTCATCAGTAAAAAAAAGAAGAAAGATGTACCCTTACATGTAGACTGCCTGGGACTCTGTAAATAATGCTGTTCTCTGTTCCTTTTTTGGTTGGGATGTCTCTTGCGGTATCTGTTCCCAGAACACTGGGAGAAGGGCAAGAGGAGTATAACAGGTCCCTGACTGTTTATATAAACAGTGCTGAGTTTGAATCCTGTCCCCATCAACTATTATACCTAGAGAGTCACTTCACTCCTCCTAGCCCAGTGTCTTCACCTGTACAAAATGCAGGTGATGATATCTACCTTTCAGAGGTAGTTGTGAGGATTAGAAATATAAGATGCAGACACTGGGTTCCTACTGTGGGTTAGGCACTGAGGATGCAGTGGGAGACGCGGGCCCTCGTACGGAGCGCCCATTCAGAAGGAGCTCGCATGTTAGCTTGGAAGAACACACCCTAAACAAAAAGAAAAGAAAGCAGGGGCATGTGAGAGCCAGTGACGTGGGGCTCCTGTCAGGGCAGGTCACAGTTGAGTGGATTTCTGGGGAGAGGATTAGGGCGGAAGGCACGGCAGGCTGATCTCATTGGGCCTCAGGTGTGCCAGAAGAACAGCAAGGGAGCCAGGTAGCTGGAAACGGGATGAGAGCAGACGGTAGATGGTGAGGGTGGCAGGGGCCCAGGGTCATGGCGAAGAGTGTGGGTGTCAGTCTAACAATATGGGAAGCCACTGCAGGGTTTGGGGCTGGGAAGTGGCATCATCTGATTTCTGTTTTTAAGTAACGCCAAAGCAGTTCCGAAAGTAGATGGGAGGGCGTGGGAACAGAGTGGCAGCCCGTGAGGAAGCTACAGAAGCCACAGCAGCGGCCCAGGTAGAGGTGGTGACGGCCTGGACAGGGCACGACTGGTGCTACGTTTAAAAAGAAGAAAAGATGTAGGAGGCGAGGGAGAGAGAATCAAGAGGATGGGTAACGGTCTAGGCAGAGAAATTCAAAAGCTCAGTCTTAGCCCTGTTAAATTTGAGGTGATGGGCTGGGCGTGGTGGCTCATGCCTGTAATCCTAGCACTCTGGGAGGCTGAGGTGGGCGGATCATTTGAGCTCAGGAGTTCGAGACCAGCCTGAGCAAGAGCGAGACCCTGTCTCTACTAAAAAAATAGAAAGAAATTAGCTGGACAACTAAAAATATATAGAAAAAAATTAGCTGGGCATGGTGGCACATGCCTGTAGTCCCAGCTACAGGGAGGCTGAGGCAGGAGGATTGCTTGAGCCCAGGAGTTTGAGGTTGCTGTGAGCTAGGCTGACACCACGGCACTCTAGCCCAGGCAACAGAGTGAGACTCTGTCTCAGAAAAAAAAAAAATTTGAGGTGATGTATAGCCATCCGAGTAAAGATGTTTAAGGAAGCACTTGAATACATGAATTTGGAGTTCAAGACTAATAATATAAAATTGGGGAGCACAGACATTTAATGGTTGTTCTTATGAATAATTAATATATACTTAAATTAAACAAGGAAATGGTCCCACTCATAGGATGACACTGTTTTGTCTTGAGGGCATGCTAGCCAAAACCAGGCAGTGGGTTACAGGCCCCTGTATGCGCTGGGATACAGTAGGCTGCAAGCAGCAAACTAACAGCGTGAGCGGCTGAGGCAAGAGGCAAGTTATTATTCCCCATCCCAAGAAGAGTGGCATTGGCGACTGGTTAGTTCAGCAGCTCAACTGCCCCCAGGACTCTGGGTTAGTTTCTCTGTGACTGTCTTCTCCCTGTGGTCAGATGGTTGGCTGTTGCGGCTCCAAGTATCACAAGTATCTCACAGTGCCCAAAGGAGGGGACACAGGATGTGTCCCAGGCCCCTTCCCCAGCTGGCTGCACGGGAGACTGGGGGAGGATCTGGCTTTCACAGTGGGACGGGCTCAGCTTGCAAGGTGAGGCGGGGGGCTATGGCTGGCATTTCCCAACCCCTCCCCTTTTAACTCTAGCACTCCTTCTCAGGGATGACAAACCCCGAGGTGATCCGAGCACTGGAGCATGGGTACCGGATGCCGCGACCAGAGAACTGCCCAGAGGAGCTCTACAGCATCATGACTCGCTGCTGGAAGAACCGCCCGGAGGAGCGGCCCACCTTTGAATACATCCAGAGTGTGCTGGACGACTTCTACACGGCCACTGAGAGCCAGTACCAACAGCAGCCGTGACAGACGGGACCAGGGCAGGGCCAGGAGCCCCAGAGGTGCCTGAGGTGGCTCCAACACCGTCTGCTGGGGCCACCCACCCTTCCCACTCCCAGACACCCACCCACACTGCAGCCACAATTTCTTCATCTGTCAAGTGGGCAGGTTGGACTGGACAATTTTTTTTTTCACTCTAACAATCCACAATCTGCCATTCTCAGGAGACCCCAAGTTGATATTTCTATTGCCTGGGATGGTTGGATTTCAGTTACAGCTGTGGTTTGGATGGGAAACTTTCAAAATAATGAAATAATATTTAAATAAATAAAAGATATGAATTCCAAAGCCTTTACCAAAACATTGGCTTTCCTGTCCTTCCAGTTCCTGACTATCTATTTTCATTCTTGCTCTACGGTAAGTCAGAAAGGCAGAAGGACCCTCCCAGAGACCAGAAGTTCAAAGAAAAGTGGGGTTCAATGCTCACCCTAAATAGTCACTGTATTAGTTTCCTGTTGCTGCTGTAACAAATGACCACAAAGCCGGTGGCTTAAAACAACCCAAATTTATTATCTTACAGTTCCAGGGGTCAGAAGTCTGAAATGGGTTGGCAGGGCTGGATTCCTTTTGGAGGCCCCAGGGGAGAATTTGTTTCCTTGCTTTTTTTCAGCTTCTAGAAGCTGTTCGCAATCCTTGACTCATGGTTCCCTTCCGCACATCACTCCAAACTCCGCTTCCACCATCACATCTCCTTCTCTGACTCTGAGCCTCCCATGCCCCTCTTTAACTTGTAAGAATCCCTTGGACCTACCTGGATAATCCAGAAAAATCTTTCCATCTCAGGATGCTTGATCACATTTGCAAAGTCCCTTTTGCCACATAAGGTAACATTTCCACAGGCTCTTAGGGTTAGGACATGAGCATCTTCGGGGGGCCATTATTCTGCCTACCCTAGTGGTGTCCAGATGCCGGATGGGTTTTGCCTCCAAGATGCTGGGTCTGCTAGGGGGATAGGAGTGATTTCTCATGATCTAGGACTCTGACTCTCCTTCTAGGCCACATTGTTACATGAGGTGGTCAGTCTACATCTCGGCCAGGTCTGGGGGCTTTCTGCAGCCCTGACATTTCCCATGGCCTGGCTGCCATCATGGTTGTTGGGATGGTATTCATCATTGCAGGAATCCCAGGGTCCGGAGATGTAGCTGCTGGGAAGTGTCTGGTCCCCTGCGTGGGAAGCTCCCAGTAGAGGAGAGGGTGGCTTGGGAAGGAAGCAGAGAAGACAAGGAGGTGGTAGACACTTCCCAAATGTTCCCTCAGTTCCCTCAGCTGAAAGTCCCTGGCAGTCAGCTTTTGTCATTGGGAAAAAGAAAAAAATAGGTGGACAGCAGGGTGGGGAACAAATGACATTTGTCATTTTCCCATTATTGTAATCCCCTGAAGGTACTACATCACATCACCCCCCCCAGGGTCCCATGAAACCCTATACTGAATTGATTCTGTACCCCTGAGTAGTGCAGGGGTCTAACCTTAAACACTGGAAACTGAGGAATAATGGAAAATAAAGCTAGTAGTGTTTCAACTTACCTAGCTGGTAATTAATTTCTCTCTTGCTTTCTTGTTTGGGATGTG